AAATATACATGTATGTATTCTAGAATTAATAAATATCTGTATACCTATACCTTGAAACCCATACGGTCTTGCATACGAATATGTACGGTCTCATATTCTATGTATCTGTAAGCAAGTTACATATATATATATCTGTGTGTGTATGTGAAATACAAGTATGTATATGTGTACCCAAAACCGCAAAGGTACCTTCTCACATGTGCCAAATAAATCTTGCAAACTATAAATAGAATTACTTTCTGATTTACCTGCACCAACGGATTCGTACGAAAAGTATCAAAACTCTCATATAGATGCCCACAGTCCACACAAACTATATGATATAAATAGAACTACTCTTCAATTACTCCTGGATGGATTTACCTATACCTGCAGTCACGGATTCGTACGAAACGTAGCAAAGCTCACATATAGATACCCACTGTCCACATGAATTATATGATATAAATAGAACTACTCTTCAATTACTCCTTGATTTACCTACCTCCAGTCACGGATTCGTACGAAACCGTATCAATGCTGTTCAACCGGTACGCCCCACAGTTTCACGATATAGCCTTTGTCGATGGTGTGAACTGTGTGGTTGAATTTGCCTGCAACCGCCACTTTCCCGGGCTAGCTATGGAGGTACAAACACGCACATCAGTTTGATCATCAATGTACATGTGTGAGTCTATGCATGTGTAGGCCTGTGTATGTTTGTGTGTGTGTGCGTCTGTCTATAATTGTGTGTGTGTTACAATCACAATCCTATGTTTGTGTCTGTATCTGTGCCCGAATATCTCTGTGTGTGTATATGTGTGCGTATATGTGTCTGTTTAGGTTACAGGAATAATCGCGTTCTGATGATGAGCTTTCTCATCTCCTTTGCTGTGCACTTATGTTATAATGAGCTGTCTTTGGAATCGTTCTTTGGTTGTCAACCTCAACCCATAGCCTTGGATAGGCTTGTGAATACAAACGTATTTATATATGTAGATTTAAGCCTATTATATTTTGTATGTTTGTTGGTATGTAGGTAATTAGGTATGTGGGTATGTATGCATGCATATGTATATATATATATATATATATATATATATATATAGCTTAAGTTTATTCGAACAAACGAAACTTACCCCTTTCTCATCTTTTCCTGCAAATGGCAGGCAATGGAGTTGATGCGCAAATGCGCGGCCATGATAGCCCAAGACACTGACAACTATATGGCAGAAAACGCGCCAAAGGAGGGCGAGCCCGCTGTATACATCAGTGACCAAATATGGGTGTGTATGACCATATACGGGTACCTAAAACTTTGTATTGTTTGAGTATGTGTACTATACATGGATATATCAACACCTGGGCTAAATTGCCTTACAACTTAAGTTGATTTTAGGGTTTTAGAGTTTATATATCATTGGATTATCTGCGGGGTGTTTTCAACATATATGAGTAATTGTATGGTCCACACTGGTTTGCATTCGCATTTGCACGTCTCCTGTGTAACGTCCGTCGAGTGTATAAGACAGGCAAATCAACTGACGCCATGCGTATCTGCCGCCAGACGTCCAAGGCGGGTTCCCGTTTGTGTTTGTATTGTTATAAGTATACGTAAAACAGGTATAAAACACATTAAATAATATAAATATATATATATATATATGTGTGTGTGTGTTTGTATATATATATATTGATATATGTTTATGCATTTATTTATATTTATATTTATATATATATATAATGTATGTATGTAGGTATGCATGTATACATGTATATCTATATCTATATATATATATATATATATATCTGTATAAGATACACATTTGCTGAAGCTACCATCATTCCCCATTTGCGACAGGTGCAAGGCTGGTTCCCTATTCTGTTTGGACTGCATCGTATTATGACTCGGTGTTCATTGGACGTGCGTACCCGAGCGCTCACTGTGCTGATTGAGGTATGAACAATAGTCAGAGCTATGTCGTTCAAGCTTTTAGTCGTGAGGTTGGATTTTGGGTTCTGTGTGTGAAGGGTAAGGTTTTGTTTGCGAGGTGCTGATCGGAGTGTGTAGAGGCGTGTGAGAATGGTTTGCCTTTGATATAGCAACTGTGTGTACATAGACGTAGGGTTGATTACAGTAGACTGTTGACATGAGGTGCAGATTGAGGTAAGCAATTGCTTGTGAGAAGGGTTTAAAATCTTAGTTAAACACGTGTACATAGCCGTAGGGTTACATATAGCTGACTATTGACATGGGGTCCTGACTGGGGTACGGTAAATGCTCGTAGAAATGGTTTAACGCTTTAGTTAAATGTGTACACATAGGCGTTGATTGTGAACGTGCGGTGCTGTTTGATTGAGGTAAGAACAGGCCAGTGGGACTGTTATGGCTTGATATATCAGGCTATGTATTCTATGAGCGTGGGCTGTATTCTGCCACAGATTACTCTTTTTGTATAATGATGTGTGTTTGAGTTCTATTAATAGCCCATACTGAAGCCTCCAATCGTGCACCTCTGATACACACAATGCCACAGATTACCCTCTTTGTATCATGATGTGATTGAGTTCTATTTTATTATTAGCCCATACTGAAGCCTCCAATCGTGCACCTCTGATACACACAATGCCACAGATTACCCTCTTTGTATCATGATGCGTGTTTGAGTTCTATTAATAGCCCATACTGAAGCCTCCAATCGTGCACTTCTGATACACACAATGCCACAGATTACTCTCTTTGTATAATGATGTGTGTTTGAGTTTTTATTATTATTAATAGCCCATACTGAAGCCTCCAATCGTGCACCTCTATTACTTAAAATGCCACAGATTGTGAAGCAAAATGGCCACACATTCCATAAAGCACACTGGACGGACCTATTCCGCATCATCTTCCGCATATTCGACGACCAGAAAATCCCGGAACAAACTGTCGAGGTACGTACACACGATGTGTTCTATTTATAGACCGGATGTGTTCTATTATCGACTGGATGTGTTTTATTTATAGACCGGTCGTGTTCTATAATCGACCGGGTGTGTTCTATTTATAGAACAGGTTTGTTGTAAATATAGATCGGATGAGTAAGGTTAATGCGTAAACTCTTAGTGCATCTGTTCATAGCACATGATACTGTGGTCCGTGTAATGTTTAACAATAGATGTGCTCGTGGCTTTATCAGCACAGCGGAAGGAGGGGAGGAGCACCCCGTGCACCCACGCTTAGTGTGTGATGGTTGCGAATGGTCTAGCACACACACATATACCTTTAACGTCTCACACACTTGACATACAGATATACACAGCTCTTCCCACACGCTAACGTACTTCGTGTTCACAAGCTAGGCCTATGCATGTACGGATACGTGCCTCTGTATAACGTCTTGTGGTACATAACCATACGCTTAAGTAGCTACCTAATACAACAAACATGTACGTTAACAAACCCATGAACTGTTTACTACAACAGAGAGAGGAGTGGATGAGCACCACATGCAACCACGCGTTGTTTGCGATCATTGAGATGTTCGGTACACACCGTACGGTGCTATTGGATGTCGCCTTTGAAGACCTTCTGGACCGCATACACTGGTGCCTCAACCAGGGCAACGAACAACTGGGCCGCAGTGCTACCCAGTCCTTGCAGGTAGGTTATACTGCCGACTATATGTGCTTGTATACGTTTACAGTTATATATATATATATATGTGTGTGTGGGCGTGTGGGTGTATATATATATATATATATGTGTGTGTGTGTGTGTTTGTCGTTACCTTTGTATCTATCTACTATGTATCTTGTTTT